TAACTGTGTTAGTATAAAATTAGTTAACAATCTATCTACAATTAATTAAAGACGAGACAGTCTGATATTTTATATCATTTTACTCCATTGTCTTTTATGTATTTATCAAGTCAAATAAAGTTTGAAATAGAACAGCAAAACAAGCAGCCTATCGGCTGAGATAGCTCCGCTGTTAGCAAGGCACATTTCAATTAAAGAACTGAGGATATCATATAAGAAAATGAACAATATGTATGGTATGTATAGCAATCGGACTTGCTGTTTCAACAAGAATTCAAAAATATCACTTTTTACTAAAAATGACAAAAATATTCATCAAAATTAGATAATTGAAGATATCATCATGAAATGAACAAATCTGAGGGAGGTTTACCTGAGGTACATATATGTATAGTATCAAAGCAATCAGACTTGCGGTTTTTAACAAGAAGTCGAAAATATCACTTTCTACCAAAAATGACTAAAATATTCACCAAAATTAGAGAATTGAAGATATCATCACGAAATGAACAAATCTGAGAAAGGTCTACATGTAGTATCTATATATGTAATATCAAAGCAATTGAACTTTTGGTTTTTAACAAGAAGTCGAAAATATCACTTTTTACCAAATATGACAAAAATATTCACCAAAATTACAGAATCCAAGATATCATCACAAAATGAACAAATCTGAGAAAGGTCTACATGTAGTATCTAAATATGTAATATCAAAGCAATTGAACTATTGGTTTTTAACAAGAAGTCGAAAATATCACTTTTTACCAAAAATTACAAAAATATTCACCAAAATTAGAGAATTGAAGATATCATCACAAAATGAACAAATCTGAGAGAGGTCTACATGTAGTACCTATATATGTAGTATCAAAGCAATAGTCGAAAATATCACTTTTTACCAAAAATGATAAAAATATTCACCAAAATTAGAGAAAGATATCATTACAAAATGAACAAATCTGAGAGAGGTCCACATGTAGTACCTATATATGTAATATCAAAGCAATTGCACTTGCGGTTTTTAACAAGAAGTCGAAAATATCACTTTTTACCAAAAATGACAAAAATATTCACCAAAATTAGAGAATTAAAGATATCATTACAAAATGAACAAATCTGAGAGAGGTCCACATGTAGTACCTATATATGTAATATCAAAGCAATTGCACTTGCGGTTTTTAACAAGAAGTTGAAAATATCACTTTTTACCAAAAATGACAAAAATATTCACCAAAATTAGAGAATTAAAGATATCATTACAAAATGAACAAATCTGAGAGAGGTCCACATTTAGTACCTATATATGTAATATCAAAGCAATTGCACTTGCGGTTTTTAACAAGAAGTCGAAAATATCACTGTTTTACCAAAAATGACAAAAATATTCACCAAAATTAGAGAATTGAAGATATCAACATGAAATGAACAAACCTAAGAGAGGTCTACCCAAGGTACATATACACCAAGTATCAAAGCATTCAGGCTTGTAGTTTTCAAGAAGAAGTCGAAAAAGTAAAACATTGACACGGACGACGACGGACAATCACTCATATGATAAGCTCCGCTCGACAAAGTCGACAGCGGAGCTAAAAAATTAAATTAGAGAAAAATGTACAGTATGAAATTGTGCAAAACGTTGGTATATAATAATTTGGCGTACAAAGAATTACTGTAGAATACTTTATTTTCGCTTGGAATTTATTTTCGCTTTTTTCACTGGAGGGATAATTCCGTGAAAATAAAATCCAGCGAATATACTTTTTCCTATATTTCACATTAAACTGATTAAAAATCAGTGAAAATAAATTCCATACAAAACGCCCAAAAAGCCTTTTCAGCGAAAATTAATTCCAGCGAAAATAAAGTATTCCACAGTATTGAATGTAACACAGTGCTACCTTTGTCTGAATCCAAGATGGCAGGAGCTGAGCTTGCACACTGATTACATGTGCATATCAGATCCAATCACAGGCTTGTACTTACTGTTGTATTTTCTATATAGTAGCAATTTGTTGTGCAAATACAGACAATATTTCTACATCAATACAGTTGACTCGTCAAAACATGCCTTGGCACCAGCACTGGCCAAGCCATATTACCGGGTACACCATAGGAATGAATGTAACACAATACCTTGGTTTAAATCAAAGATGGCATCAGCTTATGAGCTTACAGATCCAATCACCAGGCTTGTACTTCAAGACTAAAATTTATGAAATCGCTGTAGCACTTAGAAATAGCAGGGGAAATATTAAAGGCCCTTGTGGCAAAGACATTCAATGCTTCTGTGAAGTTCATGGCAACTTGTAATTGGCCTAAACAACCTCCTCCCCTGAAAATAACCTCTGGATTCCACTAAAAGATCTCCCACACCAGTAAAAATGTGAAAAAAAAAAGTCACCATGGTTAACAGAAGGTGGCGTTTTGTTTATGGCAATTTTACTGTTGGCTTTTTTGCTGATACAATAACAAAACTGACAACCAACCAAAAATGCCACCAAGGATAATACAACTGTGCCTGTTGCCAAGCTAAAAAGTCATTTAAAATTTAAATAAAAACACATGCACAAACACAATTTGCTGAACTAAGTTATATTTTATTAAAAGAATTGTGGTAATGAAAAGTGAGGAAAATTATAAAAGCAATACAATCAAGAGTAATGATTCATCAGTGACTACATAGAATCATAAACAAGAGATACTGTAATACTTATTTTTGGCTGAAATAAATTTTCGCTGATAAAACTATTTGTATGACTATCCATGTTTTATATAGAATTTATTTTTACCAATTTTTGATGAGTTCAGTGTAGAATTTAAGAAAAAAAAAGTACAATCACTGAAATTTATTTTTATGGAAACGTCCGTTTGGAGAAAATAGCAAAAATAAATTCTAATCGGAAATAAAGTATTTTATAGTACTTCATCTTAAAAAGAAACCCTCTTAGGCATCCATAATGAATTTTGAAGCAAATATTGATGTTGATAACATGTGGAATAATTGATATCTATTCAACACTTTGAGAACTTAGGACAACTTTTGTCATTTGTCACAAAATAAAACATGTTTTTCCCAAAATGATAAAATTTTAAATGCTTGATAAGATAAAGCAAGCTACAGTTTATATAAAACAAGACTTTTAACAGGCTATAGAGAAGGCACAGAAATAGGACATATAACATAACAATCAGTAAAATGAATGTCTTCGTTCAACTTTGTCAAGCTGAAAATCTGACATACTTGAACAGTTTTTCAACATTCCAACCAACTTTTCCCAACTAATATCATAAAAGCAAAGAAATCAAGTGTGTTGTGTATATTGGATGCTTGAAACAGACATTTATTACAAAATTAAGACTAACCTTAGTAACCTATTTACAAATTTAAGACTAACCTTAGTAACCTACATGTATAAACAAAAGCTTTTGTTCCAAGGTGCAAAATATGAAAGCAATTTTTTTTATTTTATGTGATCCACACAAATTGAAGATTAACAAAAAACAAAACAAAATAAAAATAAAATGATAGTACATCTACATATGATCTATGAAGTATCTCCATCATCTATCCTCCAGTCTAATATATCTAAATGAGGTAATATTTATAAACAGAATTTCTCCCCTAACCCTTACAGGTCTGTGGATTACACCAAAGCACCTTACAATAACAAAAGGTTAATTTATGCAAAGTTGGTAATTGTTATGCAACAATTTTAACAGTAAACTAATTCTTACACCACCAATGTACATGTACCAAGTTTCTTTGAAATTAGATGTACTAGTACTAAAGTATTAAGGAACAACTAAAAAATAAGTAATTAGTATGCACAGACTGCAAACTCTGAACTTGTGTCAGTGTAGTATCCCAGAGCACCTATGTACTAAGTTCCATTAAAATGTGTACAGTGGTGCTTGAGATATCAGGGGAAACACTGAAAACTAGCTAATTATTATGCAAATTAGGTAATTAATAAATGCATGTTAAAAAAAATAATCCCAGGTAATTTGTGTACCAATTTTCATTGAATTGTTTGATTTTTCAGGGATGTTAATTTATGAATATATTCTAACACAACGTGTGTCATCAGTGACAATGATTTTACCATCGTCAGTGACAGCAACACCTATGGGGTTATGTACATCACTACCGCTAACACTATTGGTTATAAATGCACCTTTACTGTTGAACTTCTGCACTCTATTATGCTCATAATCACATACATAAATATTATCATTCTTATCAGTAGCAACTCCACAGGGAAAACTGAAATAATCATTTTCACAACCATGGAACACAAACATACATTCTCCATCAGAACTGAGAACCTGAATACGATCGTTCCCTGTATCTGAGACTATGAGACATCCGTTACTATTAATAGCTATAAATTTTGGACTTTCAAAGTTGCATGACCCTTGACCCTTACTACCAACTGATTTAATATACTTGAAACTTGCCATTTCATATAATCTAATACAATGTGCATCATTATCAACCACATATACAATACCATTATTGTGGTTGATAGCAATACCATACGGGTACTTTAATTCTTTTGCACCAAAACATTTTATAACCTTCCCATATTGATTACACACAATGACCTGATTTTCTGCGCTTGGTACCCATGAGCCATCAGTAATGAAATATGCGTTATCTAAAGATATTGCTACATCTATTGGACTAACTGTTTTACTATATCCTGTAAATTGCAACTGAGATTTTGGTCTGCCAAATTTATCTACAATCTGAACAGTTTCATTCCCTTCATCAGCCACCACAATATCACCACATATATTAATGCCCACTCCGAGCGGTACACTGAACATTCTAGATTCATCGCCCCCTATGGTTCTCTCTAATTTCATTGGTGCATTTATAGCATGTGATGATTCTTGCGATTGCTGAGACGCGTGAGAAACTGAATCTACCTCAGGAGTGTGAAATGATCCCAGAATTCCTTTCAGTTCGATGTCACCAGGGTAAAACTGTGGAAGTGAATCATGTGTATCATTACATTTTGTATCAAGTGACACCATAGTTTTTAGTTTCTTTTCTGTTTCTTCACTAGTTGTCATCAGCTGTGCAGAGCTGCTGCATAGTAATAAATTATTCATAAATGTTATAGTAGTTGTCAGCAGTTCCTCCTTTGTGTCATACTGGTGCATTTCAGTCTTGATATCTTCTTTTCTTTTGTTATAATCAGTTTTTAATTTACCCAAGAGACTTGCTTCCTTCTGTTTTATTGATTTTGTTAACTTCTCAATAGTTTCCATTGAATGTTTTTGTATATGTTGTTTCCGCTGCAAATGTTCTATTGTTAATCCTTCCAACTGTTTTGTGGCACTTATTTTGCTTTGTTTTACTTCTCTTTCCTTCTCTTTCAAGATTGTGACTTGATCTTTTGTAAACTTACAGAATCTATCTGCCACCTCCTGTAAGTCAATGACTTCATGTCCTTTGTGATTCGACCGTGTAGTCAAACACATAGAACATATTGGAACTCGGCATTTCTCGCAGTAAAGCTCACAAAGTTTGTCTTTATGGGAAGTACAGTGAACTGCAGTCAAAGCAATCGATTCATCTGATAATTTGGCCTGTTTTGTCTCCTCAACAGTCATAATTCGATGACGTCGACTGATGGGCATTTTTCTGTGAGCTTTGGTGCACGTTGTACAGAAATCCATGGCACAGTCCACACACCTGTTTTTCGATGGGTTTTCTTGACAACCCCATGGCATGTTTCATTGCCTCGATGCTTTGTTTGATCTTCAATAATATCTATGGCAGAATTTATCACCATGCTTGGTTGGAGTTGTGAAACGTTACGCACATAAAGTTGCTGTCTGCAGTTGGGGCATTTAATCGTGTCACGTGATCCTTTCAACTTCACCAAACACTGCTCGCAGAAGGAATGGTAGCATGGTAAAATCTTTGGATTCTTATAACGTTCCAAGCAAACGGCACAAGTCAGCAGGTCTTCGTCAATCTTGTCAACAACAGATAGTTTGGCAGCCATGGTCGTACTTCGGGATTGAAAACGATCCGGGAAAATCAGAGAGATTTTCAAAGAGAGCTACGTCACGATCCCCCAAACGTTGCCAGTACCAATCACAAACAATGAATAAATTTTCGGATTAACACCTCTGTTTCAACTTTCCCCAAGCTGACGAAACATTTTTTGTATTCTACTGACTTCCTGTTCTGGCCCGTCTTTGAGGCAACACCGGAAACAGTCTGAGGTCAATTCTCATTTCAGTCCAAGAGGGCGCTAAACTTACCCGGTTGTGTTCTGTATTCGTCGAATCCTCGGGGGGGGGGGACATCCGGGCATTTTCTAACGCCTGGCAACCCTCGCGGTGAAAACAAAGACCAACAACTCGCAGAAAAC